TATTTTCCTTTAAAACAAAAGAACAACAAAAAAAGCTTTTCTTCTTCCAGGGGGTAAGAGAGGGTCTAAATTTCTACTTAAAAGGCTAAGCGTGGCAATGGCCAAATTAATACCAGTTTCAGAGCATGTAAGATATTCTGACCATGCCTTTCATTAACACTTTTAGCTCACAATAATATGACTAGCTCCCAAAACATGGAGTAAAAAGATCTAATTTTATTTTTTAACTCTTCTAAAAGAGGCATGGTTTAAATGGAAACCAGCATTTTTTTTCATGGATAGCATTTCAAATGTGTGCACATGCAAGTAATAATTGATGTAATCTCAGCCAGGGTCATTTCCGGGCCTCTTCCAGCAGGGAAGTCGGGTTTTAAGATTAAGCCCATTCACCATATGGTTTCTGTAGAGACAGGGGGTCGCAGTAAGCGTGGGCAATGCCATTGTCGTAGCTCTAGCGGGCAAGAAAGCAACTAAAAATGATCTTTGAAAATGCAGGGTAAATTCGCAAAGCATGCAATATACATTCACGAGACCGCAACCGAGGTGATGTCCCTCACCTGGTGGTGCCCCCGCCCCGGCCCCGCTTGCACCCCCGTTACCTCTGCCCTCTCCACGTTCCCGGCACAGGTATTGCTCGCCCTGACGGTTCCATACGCCCAAATCCGTCCCTGGCGAGCCCCCCACCTCTCCTTCAGGGTCCCGCTCTCAGATCCCCTCCTCCTCGGGGCCCCACCGCCCTCCTCTCGATCGCAGAAGCCGGCCCCTGCCCCCAACCCCGCAGCCACGGCGGGATGCCGGGGCCCACCTCCCGGTCTCGGCCCTCCAGCCCCCGCTCCCGCCAGCTCCGCGGGCCTCGGCGGCGCCCGCACCGAACCCCGGCAGCACCGGCCCGCAACACGCCCCCTCGGCCCCCAGTCACCAGACGAGGCTGTTGGCTCCTGTAAAGATTTATGGCCTCAGAAACACAAGGAGTGCCATATATACTTGTGTATAAGCCAAGTTTTTCAGCACATTTTTAATGCAGTGTTTTGCGGTAAAATTAGGTGCCTCGACTGATATTCGGGTCGGCTTACACTCGAGTATATATGGTAGTTCTACCCTGTCCAAAGAGTCACTCTGAGTCGGGACTGACTCAGTAGCAGTTTTGGTTTTGGCTTTTCGGTAAGCTCACTCTCCTCCTCAACATCAACTCAGGCCCTTTTGACTGCAACTTCTCTAATGATTTATTTATAGTCAAGGCCAATGAACTTCTCTCTACTTTTGTGAACTCTGTCCAAAGCAATACGCCACCTTCGAGCTCCTTCTACTTCTAGCTAACCACTCGCCTTTACTCGCTTTTCCTACCACTTTCTTCAACCACCTCTGGAGGTGGTTCTCAACCCATTTCTGCCTCCCATTGAAGTATAACATACTACACGTGATATCTTCCAAGATACAGTAATTATCTACGGATGGACACTGTCCCTCAGCACAAAAGTCCTGCCCCATTACCTGGAATATTCCTGGCCTAACTCAGATACTAAAGCGCCAATATGTGAATCCCTCTCCGTTCCACTTGTGGTCTGTAACACAGCCATCAATATGCAAGGTCTGTGCTATCATCCCCTGTTCCTTGGGTATTCATCTTACTCCCTTTGATCAGACAGCAAACTCTATGTAGGCAATTCCTTGTTTTAGCCATCTCTCCAAAGGGCAGAGCGCCAAGTACAGTGACATCTGTAAGAGCAGAACTCAACAGGAACGCCGCCTCCTCCTTCTTGGTCTCACAAGTTTTCCCACCTTTGCAGGGTATGTAGTCTGACCAGTTTCCTATTACTCTCTATAGGCGGAAAACTGAGTTTTCCTTCTCTGACACACTTCCTCCTTACACATGTTCAGGCTTTCTTAGGTCTTGCTGTACTCGTTCCTTATTTATTCTTTATAACCTACTTCAGCAGTAAAATTGGACAATTTTACAATTCACACACTGTAGAACAGGGATGTTGGTTAGGTTAAAAACTCTCACCATTTAATCACCAGCCTACAAGCCTCACTCTTTCCCGAACCTTTACTAACCCAGTTCTGATCTATAGTTTTCATATCTTATTTTCCAGAACCTTGTTGGTTTAGAGGAGCTAGTGCTGAGCTGTTAACGACAAGTTTAGCAGTTCAAACCCACCAGTCACTCTGAGGGGGAGAGATGAGAGGGTCTACTCCTGTAAAAATATAAAGTTTTGGGAGCCCCGAGGGACAGTGCCACTATGCCCTGTAGGTCACCAAGAGTCAGGATAACACGATGGCAGAAAGTTCGGTGAACTTTTATCTTCATTCCTAGAACAAGATGAAGAAATCACCTGCAACCAGGATGCCAAGTACTTGGATCAGCACACTCCTCAACTAACAGGAACAGCTAATTACCAAATGAAGCATCCTGAGGCATTAGTCAGCTTGAAAAGTCACTACTTCACAAAAGCAAACTAAGTGACGTGTTTTTTTTAAATGACTGTAGCAACCAGACAATAAAAGTCTAACTGATTCTAAAGTCAGCTCTACTCCAATAATATCAGCAAGTTATTTATAGGTTTGGGTTTTTTAGGGCTTGGATTTCTTTTCATCATCTCTAAATTTAAACATGCTCATTTTCAGAAGCTGTAATTAGCATAAATTTAAATAAACAAAAATACACTAATGAATACACTCAACCTTCGTTAAG